AGCGCGTACCGCATGATCAGTGCCCGGCTTTTGAGGGTACTATTTTTACTTGGCGTGAAGTTAGCAAGTGTTTCTCTTCACACCTTAAAAACATAAGTCCAAGGTCGAGTTTAGGGGCCTGGGACGTAGTTTTACTTGGCCCGTTCATTGGTAAGGAAATTTTTCTTTGACTCCGGCATGGATTCTGTCGAATTCAGGTTTTCCGCGCCTTCGTGATTTTTTGTGACCCTTTTGACCGTTGCCTTTAACTTTTATTTCACTCATTAACACTGCTAGTATTAGTGGATCATTTTGTACAACGGTTGACCATCTTGCGATTATTTCCGATTTTTATTGAGCTATTGAAAAATGCCGGATTTTTATGTTTACCAAAATGTTTCAGAAAAATTGCAACACGTCGGTTTGGCTGATCTGTCATTTTAGCACCTCGGGTCACAAAAAATTGCGGAGCATGTTTGCTGATAGACAATTGCATGGGCATTTAAATAAAAAATACTACAATTGTCTAACATAGCTCCTACTAATTTTTTTGGCGCGCGGAAGCCGTTGGTCATTACAATTGTCCCTACTAGGTAAAAAAACTGATCAGGCCAGCGGCGTATTTAATTAAATTAAAACGAAGGGAGGAATGTGGTTAATGGTCCATCTTAATAATTTAAACGGAAAAATGCTTAATTTTACTTACTTAATCTAAACGAAGTTGGAAATATTGATTTTTTGTCATTCTCATTCAACCCTACATAAATACATAGTTCAGTAGGTCGTGATAAATTACATCAAATGCATGACAAGGCCATCATATGTTTGGCAGCATAAATACAAAACTACATATAAACATCCAGTAGCCAAACATTTAGAACTTTGAGAAAGCGTTTGGTCGAGGTTACGCGCCAGATTCCATTTCGTAAAATACATTGATAACAATCTGAGAGATGTATTAACGTCATAGCATACGCTGAATTACTCCGCAGATAAACATCCACGACATCGCTTGAAAGTTTGTATATTGTACGGTAAATCTATCCTTGCCACGAATAATGTCCCCATTTGTGAAAGTATTGATATAGAAGACATGAAAATGTTCAAATGACCTAGTAAATATCTAGCTGCATTTGTTTGTGCTGGGCTTTGTATACATCTTTTGCTAACATTTTACATACATTTTCAGCTCTTCGATGGGAAGATTGCGTTCGGAGATGGACTCCCAATGTTACCAAAACTACTTCCCAATGAGGACAAGCCGGGGACTAAAGGGGTTTGGGTCTAGTGGGGGGTACGCTTACGTTGACATTGACATGTTTGCTCCGCGGTCAGGCGAGAAGTGCGATGACTCGGTGTATGTACTGTGATTAAGCACACGCTTGCAGTAAGACGGATAACATTTCTCAATGGGCGGACGAAACTTTACGTTCCTAAAACTTATTTTATCCTAACTATAAACGTGATCATATATAATCATGATGTTATTATCCCCAAGAAAACACTTAAAACCCCGCTAATTTTACTCATGCACAAATACATATATTGCATTGTGAATCTGTAAGGCGAACCATATTTAATCATATGAACATCACTACAACTCATCTAGAACCATAAAAGTATGCATAACGACATTTCCATCGAGATATGCAAGAGAAACTTGAGTCACGTTACTTCGTTACGTATGCATCGTACAAAAGACCAAAAGCCATGGCTTCTCATTTCACACTTGCATCCAAAATACGAAAATCTTGACACATTTAAGACGAAACTTTTAATTTTGTCTCGAATAAAGTAGCTCCTTCAATGCACCTTTGTTGAACACATGAAAAGGCGAAAACCCAAAAAAGCATAAAAGACGAAAACGCATAAAATATGCAATGTAATGGCTTTCGAATTGCCCACATGGACGTGAGTTATCGATTTTGAAATTGCTCCTTCAGAACATTTGCGATGTTGCAGGTTTGGAATTGAGGTGTTGAATAACATAGAATTTATACCAATTCCAATTATTTAAGTTTACAAGGAAGAATAATATTGGGTGATAGCATAAAGTAAATAAAAATTTAACGAAACATAAAGTTCATAGTTCATCACATCAACTTCCTAAACAGCGTAAACCGTGTCATCCTAGACTTTGCAAATGATTGCTGATGATTGACCAGCACCAGTATTATGTCATTTTTACACTTTCTGGCCAGACAGTGTCAAATAAATGGCTGGCAGGTTCTGAGGTTGATGATTCAACTTTATCATGACCGGATGTGATGAAGACAATACAACGATAGTGTGTACAATGTATTCAATAAAATCATGTATCTATATATTTAGGAAGTAGGTTAAGATTTCATATGGACTTTGTTAAGAAAAGGGGATAAGAAAATGGCTGGGAAAATCAGAGAGAATTATTATGGAGATTATTATGTCCTGGAAAGCCATAGAGTACGGAAATAATGGAAAGTAACTTGTAGCATTGTTTGATGCTGTGCTTATGTACAGGGTGTTAATAAAGTCCGATCCCATTTTTCCTGTAAAAAAGTGAAGGCTAGTATAAAAAAAACTACCCGTGATACTTACAAAAAATGTTCGACATATTTACCTTAGTATTTGGTCTTGTTACCATTTACTTTAACCATGCCCTCAACTCTTTGTTTAAGGCTCTGTGCTAATTTTTCCAATGTGCCTCTGGAAATCGAATTCCATACATCTTGAACTTTTTTTTACTAGCTCTTCCCTCGTCCGGGGTTGTGGCTCTTTGTATACATTTTCCTTAAGTATGGACCACTGGTTCTTCAGGGGATTCAAATCTGGGCCGTTAGCGGCCCACACCCCCTTGCTCCAGACCGTTGAAACTTGCGTCTTGATGAGACTCAAACTCGCTTTTGCTGTATGGGCTATAGCACCATCCTGCATGAAAACTATTTTTCTTTCATTCGGAAATATTTCCTTGTTCCCCATGCTATCGAAATAGATAGGTAATATTTTTTCCATATAATGCTTTGCATTGACTGATTGGCCTTTTGGTATGATATGTAGAGGGGTCACGCAACGTGCACAAAATCCACCCGCTACCATAACTTTAAGCCCGAATTTTGGGATCGCTCTTGATGGTACATCCGATTTGTTTTCTGTCCTGTAACGAACATTTTGTTGGTTCAATTTTGGATATAGTTCAATAATAGATTCGTCAGTCCAAAGGATGTGACTGCGCAATTCTTCACCAAGTCTTTTTTCACTCAAATGGGCACTTTTCTGAAGGAGTTCTTCAAATTTCAGACGGTCATCGATATATTTTTGTGACATGAGAGGTTTTTTTGGTTAGTTTGTAAGCTGTGTGACCCCACTTCGTAGTTTTCACAAATTTTTGCACGGTCACACAGTTAATTTGCTTCTTCTTCTCTTTATAGCGTTTTGAGTCATTTAACTCCCTTGCTCAATTACGTAATGAACTACCGGTTTTCTTGCAAAGTCTGTTTTTAATCATTCTTTTTGTGGTAGGTGACACCTTTCTGGGTCGCCCTGGTCGCTTTTTGTCGTGGACAAAATTTTTATTCTTCCATTTCCAAACAGTTCTGCGGCTGCAGCCCAATTTTTGCACAATTTCTGTAGGTTTAAGCCCCTGCTGATGCAATGTTTGTATCTCAACTCTAAGATGCTCATGACTTACACGTTTAGTTGTTCCTCCCATGGTAAAAATTTGAAATAAATAACTTCACTGGTTCAAAAGTTCCAGCTGAATTTGTAACAACCACGCTCCAAAAAATGCATGGGATCGGACTTTATTAACACCCTTTATAAAAAAAACTACCCGTGATACTTACAAAAAATGTTCGACATATTTACCTTAGTATTTGGTCTTGTTACCATTTACTTTAATCATGCCCTCAACTCTTTGTTTAAGGCTCTGTGCTAATTTTTCCAATGTGTCTGTGGGAATCGAATTCCATACATCTTGAACTTTTTTTACTAGCTCTTCCCTCGTCCGGGGTTGTGGCTCTTTGTATATATTTACCTTAAGTATGGACCACAGGTTCTCCAGGGGATTCAAATCTTGGCTGTTTCCGGGCCACACCCCCTTGCTCCAGACCGTTGAAACTTGCGTCTTGATGAGACTCAAACTCGCTTTTGCTGTATGGGCTATAGCACCATCCTGCATGAAAACTATTTTTCTTTCATTCGGAAATATTTCCTTGTTCCCCATGCTATCGAAATAGATAGGTAATATGTTTTCCATATAATACTTTGCATTGACTGTGTGGCCTTTTGGTATGATATGTAGAGGAGTCACGCCACGTGCACAAAATCCACCCGCTACCATAATTTTAAGCCCGAATTTTGGGACTGCTCTTGATGGTACATCCGATTTGTTTTCTGTCCTGTAACGAACATTTTGTTGGTTCAATTTTGGATATAGCTCAATAATAGATTCGTCAGTCCAAAGGATGTGACTGCGCAATTCTTCACCAAGTCTTTTTTCACTCAAATGGGCACTTTTCTGAAGGAGTTCTCCAAATTTCAGACGGTCATCGATATTTTTTTGTGACATGAGAGGTTTTTTGGTTAGTTTGTAAGCTGTGTGACCCCACCTCGTAGATTTCACAAATTTTTGCACGGTCACATAGTTAATTTGCTTCTTCTTCTCTTTATAGCGTTTTGAGTCATTTAACTCCCTTGCACAATTACGTAATGAACTACCGGTTTTCTTGTAAAGTCTGTTTTTAATCATTCTTTTTGTGGTAGGTGACACCTTTCTGGGTCGCCCGGGTCGCTTTTTGTCGTGGACAAAATTTTTATTCTTCCATTTCCAAACAGTTCTGCGGCTGCAGCCCAATTTTTGCACAATTTCTGTAGGTTTAAGCCCCTGCTGATGCAATGTTTGTATCTCAACTCTAAGATGCTCATGACTTACACGTTTAGTTGTTCCTCCCATGGTAAAAATTTGAAATAAATAACTTCACTGGTTCAAAAGTTCCAGCTGAATTTGTAACAACCGCGCTCCAAAAAATTAATGGGATCGGACTTTATTAACACCCTTTACTATACTTTGTGGTAGCTGAGCAGTTTGGAACGATTGTACATTGAACTTTAGCTTTTCACATTTTGTTTTGCCAAAGACAGACCTTGCTATTTGTGCTTATTTCAAACACACCCAATTTTTTAAACTAGCGAAATAATATTAATTAAACTAAACTTAAATATAATAATTAACGAACTCATATCTAACGATAAGTACTTTTTCGAAATTAATTATACTTAAACTAAAAATCAAGTAATTCACTTCGATAACCTTAATTCCAAGAAGCAATGAAGTATTTATGTCCCCCACTTCCTCTGCTTGGCGTCTTCCGAAATTGTGCATGATGATGGTGCTTGATGGCAGATTACTTCATGTGGTATTGCATTCCTGGTTCCAATTCCTGAGTTAATGTAACAGAAAATTTGTCAGTAAATATTATGGAAAAATAAATAAATTAGAAATGACACAATGCCTCTTATTACCCGACGAGAAATCTGTGCATTTTGGTAAACCTTGGGCAGGTATTTCTGGAATTTTGGATTGGAAAAGCGACACCTCTTCATGGCTGCTCCTGTTAAATGAAAGTTATTTTTTAGTTAGCACTACGCATTTTATAACAAAGTTATCGAAATACGACAGAAACTAAACTTTCTTTAAAGTGAAAAATTAAATAAAATGCTGGAAAAAAATTCTCACCAGAAATTTATGTCGTCACCAGAAATTTATGTCGTATATTTGTAAAGAGAAAATATGTGTGCAGGAATTTGTTGGAAATGACGAACATTTTGTTGGTTCAATTTTGGATATAGTTCAATAATAGATTCGTCAGTCCAAAGGATGTGACTGCGCAATTCTTCACCAAGTCTTTTTTCACTCAAATGGGCACTTTTCTGAAGGAGTTCTTCAAATTTCAGACGGTCATCGATATATTTTTGTGACATGAGAGGTTTTTTTGGTTAGTTTGTAAGCTGTGTGACCCCACTTCGTAGTTTTCACAAATTTTTGCACGGTCACACAGTTAATTTGCTTCTTCTTCTCTTTATAGCGTTTTGAGTCATTTAACTCCCTTGCTCAATTACGTAATGAACTACCGGTTTTCTTGCAAAGTCTGTTTTTAATCATTCTTTTTGTGGTAGGTGACACCTTTCTGGGTCGCCCTGGTCGCTTTTTGTCGTGGACAAAATTTTTATTCTTCCATTTCCAAACAGTTCTGCGGCTGCAGCCCAATTTTTGCACAATTTCTGTAGGTTTAAGCCCCTGCTGATGCAATGTTTGTATCTCAACTCTAAGATGCTCATGACTTACACGTTTAGTTGTTCCTCCCATGGTAAAAATTTGAAATAAATAACTTCACTGGTTCAAAAGTTCCAGCTGAATTTGTAACAACCACGCTCCAAAAAATGCATGGGATCGGACTTTATTAACACCCTTTAGTTGGGATTAGTTTGGCTGAAATAGTGCCAAAAGCACGACATGTAAAAAAACTCATGTGGAAATGAATATGTAGAGTTTGGTGGTTTGATTGTTGGTGCAAAAATCAGGTAAAAGACCTATTGACCTTACAATTAAACGACAAAATACAACAGCAATACATGAACCAATTGAACTCTCCTTTCAAAGAATTTCAACAATTCCCGACTCATTATTACGCAGAATCATCATCGTATCCAGCCTCCATGCAAGAATAAATCCCTGAAGGAAGACAATCCATCCCTCTAAGTAAAGAGATCGATGCGATATATTTTCAACCGTTACATGTATTTATCTTAAATTCGTTGGGATTGAACAAATAACCGTACCCCACATGTTTTTACCTAAATGTGTGAGTCCGTATACAAGAATAGCGAATATGACAGATGTCAAATTGAACAGCTGGCATACAGGTTGGTTTCTCATGTGATTTCATCTCATAATGATTTTTAACATGTACCAGAATATAAATTTCAAATGGAATTAAGAAAAAAATCATTTGCGAATTTCCTGCAATGCGATTATAAACTCATGGTGCATCTATTAATTAGACACTTGTAATCCGAAACGTAAGTAAAGATACTATATTGTGGCTTTACCTCAGTTCCCAATTTTTTAGTCCTACTACAAATTAGAAACTTGCAATGAGAAGGTAAAAGCGAAAATCCAACCTTAATTCTTAATTATTTAGTTGTTTAATTTAGGTCTTACAATTCGCAAATCCTTTCCGTCGTTGCTGAACATATTAACTAAAGATCAATAGGCAGGTTATACCGTCCAGGCTTAGGCGTTTAGTAAATATTTAACCAACCCTGCATCCTTACATTGCACAGAATAGTTTTAATCCTTTACGAAGATCCCATTGTTCCCTTTATTAGTAAGAACAAGCAACTACTTATGAGAGTACTGAGCTAACTTTGATATGTAAATATGCATGAAGTTGAAATTTAATCAACCGACGATTGCCGTCATTAAAGGGTCCCCAGAAGATACAAATTTTTCTTAATCTACATACACATGGAAAATTATAATAATCCCAATAGTTTTAACGGCTCTGATAAATAAAGAACTGGGAAATGTCAATTCAGTAACAAGACTATTTGCAGTTGGACCTGTACCCTACTTGAGAATATTCGAGGTAAGATAAACGCATAACGCTCCAGGATTCGTTGTTCTTATGAATTGCGAAGTTGGAGAAGCCTTGCAATGTAACGGTAAAGTATGTATGGGTCGGAAAATTGTTCCATTATCCATCGTCATCAATTGACCAATTTATTAAGGAGATAAAACATCGAGACTATACTAATTCCACCTCCGACTGATATTACCCAGCCAGTGGAGTTCAACATATTCGAGAGAAGAAAATGTAAACTTAATTTCCACTGGGTAATTTGTGATTTACTTGTTAAATGTGTTGATTTCTGACACATTATTAACTAATAATTTGACATGAACCATAAATTTCAACTTCATGCTGTACCAAAGGGAGGGCGGCCTGGTGGATACGAATTTGACCTTGAATAACCCCGGAACGGTTTGTCGTAGCGGGTCAAAATTTTGAACAGACGAGCATGTTATCCTCAGATAGTTGTGTGCAAAATTTCAGCCCTCTACTTTGAAAAATGCCTGCCCCACAGCCCCCAGAAGCTGAGACAGTCATTTCAAATAGTTCCTGAAAAAATCTCGCCCGTGTTTGCAAAAAATTTTATTTGAATATTCTGTTGAGGAATAGAAGTGAGCTATTGGTGACAATTGACGAAGAACTATTTTCCCGACAAGTTACTAATTGGGTTCGAAGAGCTTAATACACGACAAATGCCGAAAAAAAATTCAAGAAATTTGGTGCTTTTCAGTGAGGAGAACTTTTTTAAACAGTTGATGGTCGTGGGTGCAATGTCCTGTCGTGGTGTCCTCCCACTTATCAAAGTCCCCCAAAAAGTGAAGGAATCTTCGAAGTATTATGTGGACCTTGTACTGAAACCACTTTTAGAATACAATTTTCCTAATTTGCACGGTAAAATAATAATTAAGGTGATTTTTCATCATGACGGAGCGTCCTCCCAGACGGCAAAGTTGACCCAAGATTATGCAAATGACCTTGAACCTAGATTGGGGATAAAAATCATTTGGAATAGTGAAATACCTATACAATCCCCTGATATAAGTCAAATCGACTTGTTTGAGTTCGGATAGATGAAAAGAAAATCTTTCTGTGGGGACCGAATTTTTTAGACGGAGTTTGGAAAAAGTTGAAACGAGTGTCTCAACTTCTGGGGACTGTGGGGGAGGCATTTTTGAAAGTAGAGAGTTGAATTTTTGCACACAACTATCTGAGGATAACATGCTCTTCTGTTCAAAATTTTGACCCGCTACGACAAACCGTTCCGGGGTTATTCAAGGCCAAATTCGTATCCACCAGGCTGCCCTCCCTTTAGTACATTTTATATAAGCAATAGGCGTACTCTAAACCTAAATTCTTGCACGGTGACAAATTATTACGACTACTGTCTAAATTCTGATTGTGCTGTGAATTCATGAATCATCAGAAATTCACATATTTTAACAGAATTCAGTATCGAATTTTGCACCAATTTATTTACTAATGCATGTGTACTGCATATTTTATAGGTGTCACATATTCAGCTGGAAAATTTGAGGCAATAAGTCCGGATCAAAAGGTATGGATGCAATATTTACATACTAGTCAAAGAGTCTCCTACTGCACAATTGAGCCGCTCAATCACAGTAGTTATCCACAAAATTGTACTAATTCATAATGCTTGAACCTAATAATGGAAGAATTTGACTATTTAATTATTATTGCCGTGTAATAATTGTGTAAATACGGTGGGCTGGGGTGGATCTTTAAAATCGTTTTGCTATGCATTTCCCTTCTACCTTGAAAGAGAAAATGCTGTCGAATGATATTTCTCCTTTGCGTATTGTATTTCCGGCAAATGACTTTGGATTAAAATGCATTTTTATACCTATTCTAAGTCTTTTATGTTTAACAGCACTGGATTAATGCGACATGTCCTTGCACCGGAGAAGAACTGGACATGGAAAAGTAGGAGGAAACACGGCGTTCATTAAATAAGGTAGTGTAGCCTACACTGTGTAGGGTAATGTTGAGCAAAATCAAGTCAGATTTACAGATTTAGTTTCTAATATGATCTTATATGTTTTCTATCTTCTAACTATTATCAAGTCTAGCAACATGTAAAAATATTCCAGTATTATTCATTAGGCAAATTTAAATATGTAGGTTTAAAATTGTTCTAGTGGCAGCGAAAATTATCGAATTCGAGATGTTGTACATAACATCTCGAATAACATCCCGGTTTCGTTGGTGTTGTTCCTATAAAGGTCCGCATGGGGATCGCTCAAATTTCAATTGAAGGCGAACATACCCAAGGACGCGCCCACTACTTATTTCCGGCCACGGCATTTTTTGTCCATTTGCCCCTAAACTGATTGACCATAACAATGGCCATAAAACCGTCCATAATTTGCACAATCCACCTACATGAACGAATTTTGCATGCATAAATTTAATTTTAAACATATTTCTGGCATTACCAAAAATTTAAGATAAGAAAATTGTGAACTTTACTGAAAATGGAGAAACTGAACTTTTATACCTAAAGGTTTCATAAAATGTGAACATGCAGGCACAAGTAGTGGTTTGGATTACAAAGCAATATTTATTACTGGATAGTTTAGCTGGCATGAAGTTTGCAGTCTATTATGCCTAACGTATACAATTGGTTGTTACATGGCCTCGGATACATACACACGCTAGCATTTATTAAATGTGGTACATATTTAACATTAGGCACGCTGCTGACATTAATAAGGCTGATAGATACTTATTATTCGGTCACGGCGGCCGATGGGGACTGATCATCAAATTATGTAGCTCTTATCGAATGTTGGAAAGAGAACTTCAGGAGACTGCTTATGAATAACGCGGCTTTTGTAGTTACTCAAACCGAGATTTTTCATGCAATAACAATAAAATTATATCAAGGAATTATTAGAATTGGAGGGACTGTGGTTAAAAGACTTTAACATGGCAAAGAAAATGAGGGAATAGCATTCGTTCTCAGCAAACCCAGACAGCCAAAAAAAGCCACCTTGGTCTCCATAACTATTCCGGCACACGAGTTCTGCATAAAATCAATTAACTCAACTCTTCAGAAGATATTAGGTCGAAGTGGGAAGAGGAAGCACGCAGGCGGAATGTGTAGTAGAGAGGAGACAATAGGATGTACGATAGAAAATGAAATAAACTCGTCCAACATTACCACGTCAGCTAATTCGAAACTCCCTCTCGAATTACATAGGTCAGCCAGAA